ACCTAATTTCTAATTATTAAATATAAATAATCAACTATTTGGTAATTAAATGAATTAATAAGTATCATCTTTAATTAAAAGAACTATTGATAATCAATTTAAAAATAAAGATGAATCATTTAATTAACAACTTAAGAAATAAAATAATCAATAACCATTTACTTATTAATTAATTTCAAATAATTCAATTAAATATGATAATTTATGTAATGTTATGGCTATAAATAAAGATAATTCAATTATGATAGCAGGATGTGATAAATAGATCTGATTCTTTAATTTTTTATTATATTTTGCTTCCATCTTAAATTTATTTTTTTCATTAACATTCTTTTTCTTATGATTTTTGATTTAATGAATTTTTTTTATATAAAGTATATCAAAAAGAAAGTTATCATGATTGGATAAATCTAGAGTATGATTCTTTTAAATTAAAATGTTAGTTATCAAGCTTTTAACTAAATTAATAATTTAAATTAAAGAAAAAAAAAAGAATTGAAATAAGATTTTTTAGGTTAGTTTAGTATTCAAATATGTTTCAATATTTGAAAATCATAATATAATATATTAAAATTGTTACCATTGAAAAAACAAGCAAAAGATTAACCATCGACAAATATGATCATATGGTATCCAAGAAAAATGGCAAATACTATACTATTTATAAATCTATATATATGACATTATGTTTTTTTAAAATTTTTGCTACAAAAAAATATGAACATCTTACAAAAATTACTTGAATAGAAATTGAAATATAAAGACATTAATGATTTTATGAATTAGCTTTATTTAAATTCTAGATTTCTAAAGGAAAGGATACAAGTTGTATTCCAGTTTAAGATCAACAAAATTATAACGAAATTATCAATAGGCTTAAAAGTGATTAATCTTGCAAGCCAAGGTTGGAATAGGAGAATTTTTTTCGAAGATTCATTTTAAAGAACTTGAGTGATCTTTTCAAGAGAAAAAATATCGGCATATAGATATTAATTCAAAATATAATGAAACTAAAAAAGTGTCCATTATAAAAGAATTAATGCTGATTAAAATATGAAACCTTGAAGGTCCCCCTAAAATTCACGGTTCACTAATAATGTCAGAAAAGGTTAGGGAGATAAGCATTTAAATTCAAAAGTTTTAGGACTTGGACCCAATCAGAAGATATACCAGGGTTTGTGAAAACTCTTACCAACTTCTAACTTGTATTTTCATAGAGAGCTAAAAACATGTTGAATCCCTAGTAATAATACTAATAGAGTTTTGAGGGAGAACTTCATTCGAATCTTTTTTTTCAAATTCTATGACGGAGACGTTATTTAATAATTTTTAGTATTCCAAATTAAACTATTAGCTATATCAAAAACTCTAATGATGAATATTAGATGTTTTCTGAGGCATTCTTAATTATTTTTAATTTCATATCTATGTTGTTTGTAAATCATATTTAATAGTAATAGTTAAATCACTTAAACTTAACCTCACTCTACTAATTTTGAACTCTATTAAAAAATATGTATTTTTATTCTCTTGAATAGGTTTTAGTTACACCCTTCTCTAATATCAATCTCAATGCTCAATAAGAATATTACAATAATATGATAACAAATCATATATTTATTTAATTATTTTATTAAATTAGGTTTTTCGTCTTGAATGAACATAAATGCGATGTGACAACTTTATATTTTATGATATAATTTATATCTGGAATTCTAATGAAAATAAAATAATTTGATCAATCATTAACAATAATTAATGGAATTAATCATAAATAACTAAAGAACTAGAGCTTGAATTAGATGCTTAATTTTGAATAATAAGGAAGAACTTTTAATATCAAATAGTGAGGATATAAGGATTAAGTTTTGGAGTAAAAAATATGAATGGATTTGTAAATAAACAATCTGAGAACATAATAATTTTGTCTCATAATTAAGTTTAAACGATTAATAAAATAAAGTTATTTCTTGTGGAGATGATGGATTTATCTTAATTATTGAGTATTCAGAATGCAATTAAAAATGGATTGTATTATAAAAAAATACAAGTGGGATGTAAAGGAAAGAGAATATGTTTATCAGTAATAATCAATTTTCATTTTAACCAAATACAGGTAATTTGATGAATACTGATGAGATGGATAGTTAAAGGAAATAGTTTATTAAAATAAATCATATTACTCTAAATTCAAGTGATGACGAGGGTATAGCATAATTTCCATAGCAATATATAAAATCAAAATAATTATTAGTGAATAAACATTTTTAAAGTGTTTATTTAATAAGGAAGAGTGAATATGGAAAATTTATATGACGTGTGAATCTTTTAACCTTCCATTTTTTAAGTATTTATATCTGGGAATAATTAAGGTGTATTTATCTCGATCATTCCTTTTATTAAATTAATTAGTATTCCAATCGCATCCTTCAGTTTTCTCTTATCCACTTCTTTAAGCTTTTCATCTATTTTTATATCCTATATATAAATCATGGATAGGTTAGCGATCAAGGTGTAAGAAAATTAGATATAAGAAGTTAATCCAATGTATGCTGAATTAGCCAGTGAATAGATAACCTAATCATAATATGAATAATAAACATGAGAGAAAAAATGAATAAAGTCTTCGCTCTTATTTAATTTTAAATCGCCTTAGAGAATTCACTTAATCGGTATTGGTTAAGTAATTGAATTGAATATGTGTAAAACGCCGATATAATTTAGAATTTGCAGTAAGTGAAAGTTTTAGGCTTTAGGAGAATTGCATTTTAAGCTTAACTACCGATATAAAAGTAAAGAATATAAAACTGAAAGAAAATCATTTGTAATCAAATTGCTTAATCGTACATCTTATATTCTGTGACTTCATCATGTATAGCAACTCAAAAATTGGATGGACCTAATGCTAAAGATTGTTCTAATGTTTAGCTTCTTTGATTAAAAATTGAAGAGACTACCAATGAAGGATATAATAGGCTCATTAGTAATAGAATCTAAAAATGTACTCTTTGTTGGATTATTTTTTTTTAATTTTAAGAAAGCAAACTTTGTGGTAAATGCGTAAAAGTTGCAATGCATCTTACTATCCTGATAATTCATGCAACTTTGGAATGATTGTATAATTTACAAGGAAACGGTAATGTTTATGGGAGGATTATATATTATTTAAATATAAATTAATGTGGATAATGCAATTTATCATGCTAAGCGTTTTCCAGGTTTAATGATCAATAATTCTTTTTTGTTAAACAATTAATGTTTAATATCTTGTATTTAAGGGTATGTCACTCACTCTTATGATAAACATTTGATTATTTGTTTAACATGTATTAATGGCATTACTTGTAATTTTTAGTTTAATGCTTGAAATATATCAAAATACTTATTGTGAGAAGAATACAGTTCTCAATATTGTGACATCCAAAATTACTTTGATATTACATTTAAAGAATTTTAAAGGAGGAATTCTTCCTGTTTCATATTGTCTGATTCAGAAAGCTTTGAAAATTAAGTTTAGGAACTGATTATAGTTGAAATCTGTAATTAATTAAAATTTCATTGTTTTTTGATTTTTGCTTAGCTTTAATTAAAACAAAGTTTACTTATTAATAATGTAAAATAAAACTAAATAACCTCTCATTTATATTTCTTCTAATAATCTTATTCTATCTACTACTAAATATTTTGATAATTGTTACAAAAGGTATTTTGTAGACAATTATATGTAATTAGATTATTAAAAATATGCATTGATAATTCAACTATTGTTAATCATACTCAGAGATTATTTTAGTTCTTTTCCGAAAAATAATATATTAAACTATTTCTTGTTCAAAAAATAACAAATTAAATATGCTACATTAATTATGTTACACAGATATCGAATTGTTAAACTTGTGTATATGATGATAAATTAGTAGGATATACAAAATGTAACTAATGCTAATAAACTTTTTTATACATTCTCCTTTAGGTTCTAATTAAGTTTTAATTAATTTATTGTTAGGTAATCTTAATTGAAAAAAGATGTTATATGTAGATTATAATATATTTTTTTAATTTTTCTTTTTAATCAACTTTGTTTGTAGGATAATATTTCGTTAAAATAAATTAAATTAATTCTCAAAGTCTGCTAATATAAGGCCAATCCTTTAGATAATAAGTGCATCTTAGCTAAAACATAAGCTAATGCAATTAATTCTTGTTTGATATTGGAATTCTTTAAAAATGAATAGTTCAATCTTCTTTCTATAAGATGAGTTACTATTTCGCCCTGCGAGGATAATGATGATGAATAAACAAACAATAATACATCATGTCTTCCTTTATAATTTGAAGTTCTTTTAGATTAAGAATAATATAAAATATTTAATATGGAATAATAATATACTTAAATTATGTATCTCTAATGATGATAAATCTATTGAAACAGAACCAGATACATATACTCTGTAATCGATAATCTGTAGAATAAACACGCTGAATACATTTTATTAGAATATTGCAACATCAAAATGCATTTAATGTAGTAATAAATGCAGAAACTTAAATAGTTTATCTATAATTTATTATTTTTATTTAATTATATTAAAAAAATTATGGTACAAAATTAATGATGATATGATTTATAATATTGTTCTTGATAATATAGATGGCATACAATTAAATTAAAGAATTTTTTAAAATATTATGAATCCTCCGCCTATATTTAGTGATGATGATGAGCAATCTATTGAACTTCTACCTAATGGATCTCTCCTAATAAAAAAATTTCACATCAACAACAAATTAAGTTAACAATAAACCTCATTGGTATCCTGAATCTTGAACTTAAAGTTACTGTCTCAGATTAACATTTTGATTAAGTATTTTTCAATTTCTAATTCTAGATCCCTATTTCAGCTGATTATTTAGGATCCCATATAAATAATTTAATTGCATTTGATGGCTATTTTTGTGATACTTCATGATCTGATTCTTTAACCCTTTAGAAATAAGAAATGAAATTAAAAAAAGAATGCAAAGGATTAATTGAAAACATGCCCTATTTATTAGTTGAAGTACATAATACAATTTAGAGATTTCAGGGATACACTACTCTTAATACAACCTGAAATTAATAAGAGGGCAATATTAATTGAATAAATACTTATAGATTTATACTAATTCACGGTAGTATCATATACCTTCCTAAAATTGCAAATATCAATGAAGGAGAAATCATCTAATGCGGAACCTCTAAACTAAGCAAACCTAATTTATAGGAACCAATTTTTAATAATTTTATATCTAAATCCAAAAAAATTATTGAAGAATAAAATCTTACTGATAAATTTGATGAATGAAATGATTTCTTGATGTTGTAAATTGGACTTATATTTGCAAAACAAACAAAAATAGGAGAAATCTTCTAAGTTGATTTTGAAAATGATTAATTAGAAGAATTATAAACCACTTTTGGATGTGTCTAACATGTTCAATTCCATTTTCTTACAATAAAATTGTATTTGCCTCTAATGGTATTAAGTTCTTCAAAAGATAATATTCATCATGGATTATGTTATTCGAATAATCATCTATTTTGAATTAATAAAAATGCTATTGTTACACCTTAGAGTAAACAGAAACGAAAATTAAAACTATTGAACTGATATTTTTTCCAAACGTCTTTTCATTATAATTAATGAATCCATAAATCATAATAATAGCTGAACATAAAGAAAAAACAGATGTTATTTCATTAAGCACAAAATTAGAAAAACAATTCTTTTACGAAACAACACTGTTGTTCAAGTTTAGATGAATAACCTATGACACTAATTCAAAAATGTTAATTACCATATGATTAAGTAAATATTTAACATATAAATTGAAATATATCCTATTGATAATACATTTTGGTAACCTTGAAATCAAGACGGCCATGTTTTTAGAGAACATTTACTATTCCAAGACTATTGAAATACCTTCAGATTCACAACTTTTGATTTAAAAACGCCTTTATCTATTTTATATCTGTACAATCTATTCTTCAGTCACATCTTTCATAATAAATATATATCATTACTAGATGCTTAAAGTATACTATATCTACTAAGGATAAAAAATTTTTTATTTTTTGTATTCTAGGAATGACAAGTGGTTCTGATTCATTTTTAATTATTAGATTCATCAAACACGGTTTCAAATATATTGACTGATTCAATGATATAATTAAAATAAAAATATTTAATCAAAATGTATATTAATTAATTAGAATTATGAGTTTAAGCTCAAACATTATGATCTAGTCTTAAACAAAATACTAATTGTGGTGATAGCGATATATAAATAAGTTTTGATTTACCAGCGATTAGTAATTTCAATGATTTTGATGATTTATTAGGTTAATTTATTTCCTTTCCTAGCTTGATTATGTATCAGCTAAAATTCTGATTCAATACAATTCATTAGATCAACGCCTATACATAGAGATCTATTTAATTATAGAATAATTATTAGTACATTGAATAACACATATATAGAATTATTAAAATATGGTTGTTATGTAATATTCTACTTCAGCATATTGGATAATGATTAAAATGTTTTAGTTTGATTATGATGTTAAATAATAAGGTAATAATTAAATCGATAAATTTTGACTTATTATAATTGAGTGAATTAGATTCATCAGCTAATACTGAATAATTAAATTATACAGGAGTAACTTAATTAATAGATATAATAACATCATCTACAATCTACAAATCTTGGAATAATAATATATTTGATGCCTATGCTTAGGAAGCAATGAAACTTATTGGTTGATATACAGTTGAACTGTGGCACATATAATTTTATGAAAATTCTCTCCTCAACAGCTTAAATGTCACAATTCTTTACAACTTTTAGTTTGGACACTCACCCTATATAAGGAATGGGTTATTTTGAAGGAGCAATTGTAAGATCTACTATTTACATTAAACAATATAGAATAACCATATTTACCTACTTCTTCTTTAATTGATATTACTACAAATGCTCTTATATTTAGATGGAACAACTATGGAGAGATAAAAGAAAGAATCTTATTAAGCTGATCAATTGATGCTAATAGCCTAAGTTTTACAAATTTTCTGCTTAATAAATTGATTTCTAACTCTTTTCTAATTTGATTAGCATTGGCATCTAATTTTACTATAATTTCATTCTTATTTAAGCATGTACTTCAACAAATTATTAATATATAGATTTGCAATAATAAATGCTGCATATAATAATATATTAGAAAATGAAATTACAATTGGCTCACTTCTAAATGCCCTACAATCAATATCCATAAAAATTGTCATAGGTTAATTATAATTAATATGAAATGTTATTTTAAGAATATCTTATAATGAATAGCAATAAACAAATTTGGATTAAACTAAAATAGAAGACTGCAGTTTCAGCTGGCTTCGATGCATTTCCTACTATTACATTAATCTTTATTGTATCATACAGTGTCAGGAAATCAATTATCAGGAGTAATTAAATAACCATTTGGATTATAATTATATTATGTGATAATTACAAAGCTTTAATAAAAGAATATAAAGAGATATATAACAATTGAGTTTCCATACTAGCCGATTTACCTTCAATTGGTACTTAAACAATTCAAAATTATAATTTAGGACTTGAGAATTCTACTTAATTAGTAAAACATATGTCTTTTTATGTACTGTAGATACTAAAAATAACAACATTCTTAAGAGTTGCAACACTGACTACTTTGAATACAAAATTACTTAAGGATAAGGGATATGAATATATACGATCAACTTAGTATTAAATATCAGAAATTGCTTTATAAGGACAATATCTAATAATATTGAAATTTTTAGTAGACACTATTATTACGTATTCTTAAGTATTCCCATTCACTATTTATAATAATTAAGTGCCTGAATTAGTTACTTCAAGTTATGTTTCTGATAATATTGATGCACTCATACTAATTAGAGAATTTCAAAATGAGGTGTCAGGAATTAGGAATTGTTATAATGTGTAATCCATTTTCTAAAGGATAACGAAAATATAAGTGTAGATAGAGTTAAAGGAACGGTAGATTGTTTATATAGAAAGAATACATGGAATATACTTTAAAAGTGGCGGGTAAGTGAGCTTGAAAATCTTAAGAATTAAGAGCACTACTTGCAGTGGTCCTTCTATTTATACATAGTCATGATTTATTATTTGAATATTGTCGACTGGACCAAGGACATATTAACCAATATTTAATTTAAGATTTTTCTCCAATATAATATGATTTGAACTAATAAATGTTTGAGGTATCAGAAGATTTAACTTATTAAGATTTTCAACCAATAAAATATACTTATAATTGCTGAAGGAGATTTATCAATATTTCAATAATTAAGATGAAATTCATAAAGAGAATTAAATTGAGATTTCTATCTAATTTTTTATTTTTAGGAACTCAATTATTTATTTTTAAATTGACTTTTTAATTATAAATAATGTTAAAACGAATGATAAATGCAGTCTAATACGAATAAGAATAATATCCAAAAATGTTTAACAATTACTTAAGATAAACTTTAGTTAGATATTCTATTTGATTAATTATCAATTAGAAATAGAAATTAGAGCAAAAATTTATAGAAAACTGTAGTAAGCCAATGAACTTTTGTTTGAAATGATATAAGAAATTAGAGAATATAAATACAAGAAACGAATAAATCCAGAAAGGATTTTAAGTAAGAGAACAATTTAAAGAAAGAGTTATTGATTATTAGGATATAAAATGAAAAAGAATTCAAATTTTCACTAAATGTTAATTGCAAAAAGTATTGGATATTTATAATTCTTAAGGATGCATTTATTGAATTATGAATTAATAATTAAACTTAGATTAAACTGATGTTTTAATAATGGTGTTTTATAAAAATTATTATTATGATAAGCAAATTTAAGTATATTAATTTATTTATTGGTAAAAATCTAAAATAGTTTTATTCTTCAAAGGTTGGAAAATAAAAGCATTATTTTTTCAGATTTTTTATAACTTTATTTGATCTTAACAAAATGAGGAAAACTAGTATATATCTGCTTCATTTTCTTTATTTAGCACATTAGATTGAATGTAAGCTTCAATATAGTTGTACTTTTCATCAAAAGTTAAACTAATATAATAATAATATTTTAAATTAAACATTAAAAATCAAGAATAGGTTAAAGAACTAAAGACGCATTCAAATAAAAATAATAATAAAAAATATTTAAATTAACTATTATTTCAAAGCTGATGTATAATTGGTATATAAAGATAATAGTTTATAAAACAACCCAGTTTTATACATGAACGCATTTACAAATTCTAAATTCTAGGAGAATGCTAAGCCATACCATTAGGCAAACCCATATTCTTGCATCTATGCCGAATCAATTTTGATCTGGAGCTATATAAGTGTCCATTACCTGGCAGAATTAGTATTGTATATTAATTGAAAATTATAAAGAAATTTTATTTCTTAAAAATTAATTAGAATATTGAACAATAATAGAATTCATTATTAGAGTAAAAAAATATATATAAAAATATTGATTATTTATAATATTATTATTAATATTCATCAATATCTAACACATTATTGATCAGAACTATATTTGTCAATAATCCAAAAAAAGTTACATTTGTTATTTTAATTTTTTAAGCAATTGTTATATTTCAGAAAAATCAGTTCTTCTTGTTTTTTCAATATTTCTTAATACAATTTATTTTTTGAATGAAACTTCAATAAATGGAATTTTGATGATTGATTTGTTGCATAAGAAACAAATAAATGAAATTACTTCAATTGAGTGTATGTTTTTGAAATGAAATCTTTACAATAAAGCCATTAATTAGTTGTGTTTTAATCTCAGTTTATAATTAAAATACCTATGAATCTGTAATATTTTGATAGGCTAGCAGTAGAAGGTTACATTTTAGACTATATATTTGTATCTTATCATTTCATAAAATAATTATTAGGATTTGTATTTAGTATTATTTATTTATTTAGAAAAAATCCAATTAGTTTATATTTGGAGATAATGGTGGATTTATTTCATCGATCAATAATAATAATAAAGGCTTATAAACATTCAAACAACATAATGATTATATATAGATCAAGTTGGCAATGATTGTTGTGTATTATTCCCATTATAATATATAAAACCAAAATAATTGCTTGTGACTAAACATGATAAAAATATCAATTTATTAAGAAAGACAGAAAAAGATGAATTTAAAGTTGAGTATCTATTTAATTTAATCATAATTAATTATTCGAACAAATGAGTGATGATGGAGAATATTTGATTATTTGGAATTATTCATCTAAAGTAATATAAATGTGGAAATAGACACAGAAATGAACATTATTAAATTATAATTATATATAATTAGATATTAATTTAAGATTATCTTTGCTTCAGTTTAAGTAAATACGTAAATTAAATTTTATTCATACATTTCTCATTATAAATAGACCAATAAACTAGTATAAAAGATATAATTATTTTTTTTTATTCTTCTTTAGTCAAGGAATAATTGATAATAAAAGTAAATGATTTTTAAAAAACATATTCTTAAATGTAATATAATTTTAGATCTGTTTTCTAATTTATTAAATATTTATAATATTTTAAGATCTCTTTAGTATTTCTTATTTATAATCTAAAATCAAAACCTAATGAAAGTCTATGATTGACAAATCTCATTTTATAGATTAGAAATAAATTCATTCATTTTTCCTAATTGTTCTATATATTCAAGCCTCTATTATTTTCTGTAAATGTTAATTCTTTAATTAAGTGATATTTACCTTAATAAAAAATTTCTGTATATTATTAAGTAATCTTCCTTAATAAATTGGCAAAACATTGGGATAAATTTGTTCATCTCTTTTTTTGATAATTAATTCTTTCAGTATTTATTTATTAAATTATTCCAACAAAATTTATGGATGGCTTATTCTAACTCCATAAAAATGAATGATAAGGTTTATTTATTAATATTATTCTTTGTTGCATAAGATCTCATTTAAATTATCTTTATAAATAAACACTTAGTATTTAATTTTCTGTTTTCAACCAAATTTATGATTTTTATCTATAAAGTTAATTTGTTATCATCTAATTCCTAAATACAAACCTAATTTACAATTAGGTCTTACATCATGAAATCATTATATCAATTTCATCATATACTGTCATTTAAGATAATCGAAATGTATAACTTTAGTTTATTTATAAATTCTAAACCACTTAGATGTGTAATTTTATTTAATAAATATTTTATTTTGTTTAATTTTTTCAAATTTGATATAATGAACAGAGCACTTCGTTATTACTCCAATAATTAATAGGATCACATTTAATATAATTATTAAATGTAACCATACTCTAGACCAAGTAATTTAAATACAAATGGATTTTGTTAAGTGGAATAAAATTTTCACATTTAAAATGAATTTTAATATAATAGAAATATAAATTAAGATGATCAATTTATTGAATAAAAAAGAACAAATATTTAATAGCACAATAATGTTTAGGAAGTTAGAAGTGATTTTCCAAATAATAATAATCTCAATGATGATGAAAATTAAAATACCCAATAATTTGAAACTACATAATAATAGTTAAGGGCAATTTATTTATTTGCTTTATTAGAATCAGTTATTGCTATTATATTAATAACTTTTTTTTACTACATTAAAAGTCTTTAATAATATCTTATAGATGAAAATACACTTCAATTAAATAAACTAACATTTTATTGCATGAACATTCCTATATTTGTTCTTTTGTTTATTATTTTTATTGTATACAGTGCAAATAGAGTATAAATTTAAAATTAATAAAGAATCCCCCTGAAGAATTCAATAAGATAGCAATATTAACCTACACTTTGGTATTTCAATATACTATTGTTTGCTATGGCATATTTTAGTTTAAAAAATTGAATCAAGGATGTAAAAATATATTCTTATAATTAAATAATTAGTCCTTTACATTTAAATCACTTAAGGCCTTATTGTTCTTATCCTGATTATATTTATTGTAAGGCCTAAATATAGTTTCAACTTGAGAAGTACTATTTTATAATCTATAAGGTTATTTTTTGATTGTTATTGTCTCAACCTTATTCTTAGTACTATTTATGTCAATTTTTTTTGAAGATCTAAAATTTTGGTGGATGTTTGGGGTTCCTGTGATTGCATATTTTTTTGCCCTCAAATTATAAATATTTTGTTGGGTAATTATAACGTTTATACATATTTAGATAGATTAATCTTAGAATAATTCAATATTGGTTTTGATTCATTATGGCATATTCTAACTGATGATTTTAGTTTTCGTAATTATTATCATAATTTAAAAACATTTGTAATGAGTATTATATTGCATTTAATTATTTAACCAAGTTTTACTTAAATTTTAAATATGTTTATTCGAAATAAATACAAAATAGAATTCTTTATTTTAGGTATTTTGTTAATTTTACTACCTTTAAGAATTATTTTTGTATTTAAAAATAATATTGAAGCATAGCCATTATAAATAATAGAATTAATTGGAAAAAAAAAAAAAACAAACAAAATAAATAATTTAATAAGTTCCCTTTATAAGTTACTATAGAAAGATTCTGCTAGATTCATAATTTCATTAATAAGATTAATGAATTATTTATTTTCCTGTTCAATCATATCATAAATTTAGTTTATTGATTCTGTTATATTTTCCCAAGTTCTCTTCATCAAACCCTCAATTTGAGAGAGCATTGATTTAAAATTCATTCTTTATTTGGTTAATTCAGATTTGTCATCTATCTTAGATTCTTTAAGTTTTTTATAACAATTTCTCCAAATCTACCAATTAGAACTGTTTATTTGATTATATCCACTCCATGAGCATAAAGGCATTCAATACACAGTTTCCTTTAACATTAACAATTATGAGGAGATATACATGTTAATGATACCTATTTGTTAATGTGCTAAGTGCAATTTATGATTTAAAAAAAAATAATGATTTTCTATTCCTTTTCTTTTATTTTTATATTATCAAAAATTAACATTTATTTTTATAAGAAGTAATTTGAAAAGAATTGGATATTGTAAATGATATTTAATCACATCTTTGAAAATCAAACAAACACTTTTAAGGCTTAATATAGAATTTATAAGAAAAATGAATTTATTAATAATCAATATATAAGAATATTTCTTATAACCAACAATAATTGTTATAATTCTTTTTTAATCTTCCTCATACTAATTATATATTATTTTAATCAAATATTTTATTTTAAAAATTTAAAGTAAAATGAATTATTTTTATCGAACTTCTTGAATTATCAATAGTTAATCTGAAAAATTATTGTTTTATGTATTGATTTATTGGGTGCAATTTAAATAAAAAGTATAAATTATAATATCACAATAAATTAGATCTTAATAATTATGGGTTGGCTGGGATTGGCTGGGATTGGCTGGGATTGGCTGGGAAAGTACCTCTCGGGGTTGGTCCTTAACTAGCACCTAATCTAGCCCAACACTAGTACGCTAGTAATATGGTCGGGGCCGTGGAAAAAAAAGCAATTTTGATTTCCCTGGGGATTTAGGATTGGGGATAGGGGTATTTTATAAGGGATCTATTACCCCTATCCCCTTCCCCAAAAGTGATAGGTGATTGGGGAATAATGTAGTTTTAAGAGAAATTTACATTGAACATTACTTTAATGTACTTCTGGGTTTGGGTTTAGGGTTAGTTTTCGCTACCACAATACTCTACCACTAGTTGCGTAGTATTAAGGGTGGGCCTGTTACAAAAAGCTGAGGTTGGGTTTGGGTTTGGGTTTGGGGTTGGG